AAATCTGAATTACAGTGTAATATGCTATGTCCATAGCTTGTGTATGTTGATTATCCAACTAAATACAGAATGATCCGTTCCTTCAAACTTCTGCTGGAATAACTGCTAGAAGATCTATCCCATTTCAGATGAACAGAAAGCAAGTGTATTCTTATTCAATAATTACAGTACTCTCGCATAATACTTACAAGGAATGAGTTAGGTTATTTAACTAATGTGCAATCAATTTTATCCCTATTTACATGAATGACATATCACACAATGCTACGTAGACTGGTGACCTAGCAATCATGACTCCAAATGCATCTCTGCGTTCAGTCCTACGCTCCTTACAAGAATATAACCATGCACTGGGAGTCCTAGCTTCAGCAGGTACATATTGCTTTGCTATGCAATCTCTGTGGGTCCTAAATTCTAAAAACTTTTCCACTCCTAAATTCTAAAAATTTTACTACTTGATGTTTCTGTAAATTCCAAAATTTTGCACACCTGCCTGGCTGTGGTCTCAGTTATTCTCACACATATGTTCTAACACAGTCAAATATTGTAACATTATTTTAGACCAGAGTTTCTTAAAATGTGGATCACGACCCCCATCTACAGCAGGGGTCGCAAAAAAATTTAGTAGTTTTGGTATTTCTTTAACTTATAATAATAATTTTACAATTACTAAATATTTTTACACAATGTATCTGAAAATAGATGAAGATAAGACAATACAGACAAAGAGAAAAACAAAAACGGTTCGACACATTTTCTTTTTATAATATAAACGTTAATTTTACTTGCTTTGCACATGACACTGTCATTTCGTCTGTTACTTATTAAAAAATTTCATATTATTCTATGTCTTAAAATTAGAAATTAAAGTTAATGACTTAAAACTGCAATAGTATATTACAGTACAAGTGAAAAAAATTGACAGTTTCACTCACGCGTGTGTCGGATTTTCGCAGTGTTTATGCGGTCCCACAAAATTTTCGCAAGTATTTTGGGGTCCTGGTGTCGAGAAAAAATCTCGGTGACAAAAAGGGATTGCGACTGAAAAAAGTTTAAGAAGCCCTGTTTTGGACCAAGAAATTTCCTAACGCCAACCCATTTTTTTCTCCTGTTTTGTTTCTCAGCCGAATTGTGTTTCTGTGGGATTTTTTCTATATTTTTACTGTTTCAGCTGAATGAAAATACACATTAAAATGTTTCAAGTGACTATTAGGGGAAGAGAATCAAATACCCCACATTATTATTATCTCTATTTATCTTACGTTTCAATTCTGAGTTAAATTGTGTGTTCTGATATAATTTTTCCATATTACATATTTCAGTTCAAGAAAAAATCAACTTGCATATATCAACTTGCAACAAAAATCTTGCAACAACAAAAATCAACTTGCAATATAAAATATTGAGAAAAAGCATGTGCTAAAATGTTTCAAAATGAAAATGTGAGATAAATAAATACATAAATTAGTTTTTTCTAGGAGTGTAGGAGTTCTTATATATATATATATATATATATACATAAAGAAAGAAATTTAGATAGATTGATGTGTACATGGACAAATTTAAGGCAATGCGCAGTGCCTAGTTTGTGCAATTCTAGTAATTTTTTTAAAGTGAAAACAGATCGATGTGTACATGGACACAGAGCTTGTGCAATTCTTTGACTTCATATTTTGGTCTTGTGTAGAGGCCATTGAGAAATTGTGCCTTCCTGGCGTCGATTTTGGCGTCAAGAAAGAATCGCCAAAAAACAAGGGGCACCCAATTGTAAACTTTTACCGAAATTAGGTTTTAATTTTTATTAAAATTAAGTATATTTAGTATGTTAGTATATATAAGTAATTTTCTATAGCAGTTACGTATGTTTATTAGTTTATCTCAATAAATGAGTATTGGAAATTAGGTTTTATTTATCTCAATAAATGAATGTTGGAAATTGGGTTTTATTTTTTCACTAAAACTAAAGTAAATACATTAAAATATGATCGAAAGAAATGGTGTTAAGAAATATCAGTATTACTGGTAAATACTGCAATCCATAATTATTGCACTTTTAATTGCTTACTATTTAAAAAAACACAAATATTTTTTTTTATTAATTGGAAATTTGAGTTCTGTTACCTTCCTTCTGCTATTTATACTTTCAAACACTACTAGTTCATGTTTTTTCTTAAATAGTGATGTCATGTACATTTTGGTACTTACGTATTAACGCAACCAGGCCAAAATTCGCATAAATCGCCAAATCTAGCGACCCTACTTACGGCAACCCTACGTGTGTGAAAATAGACGAAAGTTTATTTGTAAAAGAGAAAAAATAACACTGGGCGTGTACTACCACAGCAATGGGTTTTGCCGAGAAAAGAGACTTTTTTGGTTACTGTACCTAACAGAAGCGCCGTTCGTTACCCTGATGGAAAAAATTTGCGAAAATATCAAGGAAGGAAGCATCATTTATTCGGATTGCTGGAAAGGATACAATACAAGTGAGTTCGAAAATGCTGGATTTCTGCATGGAACTGTTAATCGCAAATATAACTTTGTGGATCCAACACGGGCGTTCATACACAACATGTAGAACGCATGTGGGGCTCAGCCAAATGGCGCAACAAAAAACAGAGAGGAACAGCCCGTCATCATCTTGACTCATACCTTATCGAATTTATATGGTGCCAAGCTCAAGCTGTTAATGGCGAAGACGGTTTTCAATCAGTGCTAAAAGCAATAGCCAAAAGATTTCCACCGAAAAAATAATTCTGCAACTTATTCAAATTCGAAACCGGAAGGGTTTAATTGCTATTTTATATTTTAAAACAAAATAATATAAAAACTGTATTAAAATTATCTGTAATTAATAAATGTACATTTTCTTTCTATTCATACTTTTTTACTCAAACTAACAAATCGCGCCAACCTGGTTGCGATAATACGCAAGTACCTATATTTTTTTAGGTTATTATTTCATTTTAGATATGAATATGGGAAGTTTTTTTTTTTTTTTTTGGTTATTAGATTTAGGTATATTTTTGTAAGAAATATTTTTTATCTCATTTATAAACTGATTTAAACAGTCTTTCATTTGCATAGCTTGGAGATATAGAAGGTAATGGTTTTATTTTTTGCTATGAAACGCGAATAAATTTATACTTGAGTTCAGGTAAAATACTGATTATGTTACCTTAAGAATCGCTTCCTAATTTATCATGACACGGGGAATTTTCAATGTCTCTGAGATTTAACAGAAATAAATGTGGATAATGCTATTATCAGAAACGCTCTTTTTTTTTTACCCACATATATATCTTTACGTTTTATTTGTGTCTAATTTGAGTTTTATTTACTTAAAACCTACAATTAATGTTATACATATTCTATATTAACCAATTTCATAATTACTCTCATTTAAGGGGAAAAAACTTATGAAATCTTTAAATAATCGTAACTTAGAATTTAAAGTTATTTTAAAAAATATAGTTTAAAGTAACTGAAAATAATTAAGTCTATTATTAATTGTGCATATTTAGTCTAATGAGAAAAAATTGCATTATCTTCTGGTCAGAAAATACTAAAATATTTAAAGTTTAGATAAATATCAAGGTACACAATATTTTAGAAAAAGAAGAAAAATATATTAATTATTAAGCTTGTTTTTCTGCATAAATCAATATATAACACAAGGACACAATAACGACATTTTTACAACTGTTGCAAAAAGGTGGAATTTTGCGAACATTTAGGCGTCGTTAAGACGTCGTGATACGATATTTTCACAACTAAAATATCACCTGCGAAAGGCGCAATAACGACGTCTATGCGACAAAAACTTCATCTGCAAAGACGCAATAAAAACGCCTTTGCAACGGTTGCAAAACAGTGGAGTTTCGCGGACATCTGGGCGTCCTAAAGACGCCATATTGAAACGTTTTTGCAACGACATCCGCGACGAGTTTGCAACGTCGTTACGACGTTCCTGTGCTACTTGGAACAATCTCGTTTGTTTTACTTGCGTAGCTGAATTTTGCGACGAATGCATCACATTTATTGCTGAGTATCATCTTCCAGATTTTTCATACTGTTAATGTACACATCAGCAGTGAATTGTTCTCCTCTTTCCTCAAATACACTACGCCGGTAAACAATAACCATTCACTAAAGATTTTGCGTAAATTTCCACGCACAATAATTTAAATTAGGAAAATCTCACAATTAAATCTTAAACACACGAATCAGCACCATAATTCTTTCAAAAGCGCGCCATAGTAGTCAAATGTGGGGTATGCCTGTGAAACTAGTCGATATTTCCGTGACGTCAAAAATTCGAAAAGTGGGGTTGGGTTTGGAAATACGCTACACGACTACTCCATCCGGGTTCGACTCTAAGCAAATGGACTCGATACATAAATTAGTTTTCCTCAAGCGCAACATGAATACGAGCAATTTCCCATTAGAAAATCTCTTTACGAAGGCATCCCTTTAGGCAGATAGCTATGGGGTACTTTGCTATATTCAGATAACCTAATCACCTGAGCCCAGCTTAAGAATTTTGCAACCTCGCCATTGGCCGATTGTAAGACGTCTAAATGCTGGGAATTCGACTCGGGCTCAACCCCAGGCGAATGATTACGTGAATACGAGCCAGTTCTACTTAGATGGTCATCCACGAAGGCGTCACTTTCCTTTAGGCAAGTAGACCTCGTGCGCTTGCCGAAGCCAAATAACCTGGAACTTATCAGTTTCTGAGTGTAATCATAATTCAGGTACTAGCCCCAGATAAGGTGCGCTCCGGTATTTTTATTTACTATTTTCTTTTTTGACATTAATTTAACTTAATTAATTTTTAGGCACTCTTCTGTCAACGGGCGCCACTTAGCGCCAAGCATAAAGATGGCGCAAAATTTAACTAGATTGGCAGCAACACTAACGATGTGGAAAGTTACATGAAAAAAATGACTATTTTATTAAATCCGAAATAAATACAAAAAATAAAGAAAGTGCAAAAATAAATAAAATAGATTTTATCAGATTGATTTCATATTACACAGGAGGCATAAAACTGCCAATTTTATTTAACATTGCTGGAAACATTTTTTTCTTTTCATGCATTCGCTCTCACACTATTTCGATGAAGCAGAAATCTAGATGAGGGCGGCCAGTTCCTTGCTGATGTTTATTTTACCATTTTGCATAAGGCATTCCTCATCAGTATCAATGATGTTGAATTTCTGCTTTAACTCGCAGGTATTCATATCAGTATGAACAGGCTACCAGATTTGGCGCACATTTGAAAACTACACTTTTTTATCGTTTAAAGTTCAATTTAATATTAATTATTAATTATTTATCGCTATAGTCACATTTATTTACTTTTCTTGACGGCTTCCGCAGGGCTCCGGTACCTTTAATTTTAGAAATTAAGCCCTGTTATTTTCGCAAAGCTCACTGATGTCAAATACGGCCGAAAGATTTTTGCATACTACGGATTCTCTTTAAGCAGTGGAGACTGCCACTGGTACTGGTTACAAAAAGTTGTATTTCCAGCTTAACTCTATGGAGAATGAAAGGCAGTAAGCAGGTAATCCGCTGTTCAGAGATAGAGTGCTGTGTAGAAGCCGATACCCCACCCACGAGTGGTCAAGTGGTATCCATTTCAGAGGTCGAAGATACTATTGCAAGTATGCGAGGTGTTTAAGAGTGAACTAAAAAGAAACCAGAGCTTAAGATAGTATTAGTCTTTTGTTATGTCACTTCAGGATTCTACTTTGGTTTTAAAGAATAAAAGTATGTTTACCAGAAGTGCCTATGTTTTCGACAGAATTAAACATTCGAAGTCAGATAATTTTAATTTTGCGTTTGAGCGAGGAGGAACTAAAGCTATACAATAAGTAAATTAAGCCTCAAGTTTCAACTGTAATGTTCTCTTATGTGGTCATGCGTTCTTTTTAATGCTTTTCATTCAATAATGTAAACTAAAAATTATTGCATAGTAATATTTTACTTATTTTTTTCCATGTATCACAAGAACATATTCATGACCATGAATTAAAACACGGCATTATAAATTAAGTTAATTTCAGTTATAAGAATGAGACCACTAAATTTTCTTGATTGTTAGTAGTATCTCTAGGAATTCTTCACTCGCATAAAGCCGACGCAACCCTAATGCATTAGATTCGCCAAAATACGACTATACTCGAACGGTGTATGTTTTCATAAAAACTAAAATGATATTTCGTTTAATCCCTATGAATGTCAAGTAAAAATTTACTTGAAAATATTTCTACTTAAAATAATAGCAGACTAGACTAGATACTCCAGTCCACTGACATTATGCATCTAATTTCAACTATACGATTTCATAATACAAACGGAATATTTTCAGGCAAATGTATTTAAACTATATTATAGTTTGTTACATTAAAATAGACACTTCAACGTCATAACGATATTCCCTTCATTTACGATCATAACGTGCGTCGTCATCACTTCACAGAGGGTTTAGGGTACTTTAACAAATTAGAGGATCTGACCATCTTCCACAACGGGTACGAGGCACACGCAGAAAGGCCTTGAACTATCCATTCTAAAATGAGAATAGAAATATGCAAAGTAATCGAAAACGTTCTTGCCAGTCGTGATCGTCAGAAATTAATAGACATACTTAGCTTTGTATTTAGCGTTAGGTCTCGAAGTAATCTCTCCATCAACATCTAGCATTCTTCATCAACATTTCTACAGCTGTGATATGTCCTGACCAAAACTGAGGTTTTGGATGCAAAGAAGACCGTGAGTGCATGCTGCATATCTGCCTCATTGTCGAAGGACTTCTTGTAGAAGGCGATGTTCAGGGAATGAAACAGGTGGTAATTTGTGGGTTCTAGGTCTGGCGATCAAGCTATCTTTCAGCCAAGTCGGTCTAGTGGTCCTTGCCCCGTGTGGTCTCGTGTTGTCATAAAAGTACAGGATTAACCTTGTGATTAATCATTGCTGGCTCTTTCTGCTGTAATGCATTGTTGGTACCGTTCTTGCCGCAAGAAGAAGTCCTCAGTGATGGCGGAAGTAGCTTGTAATGCTCCACCTGGAGATTAATCTACCCAAATACAGAGTATTATCTTGTGTAGGTGCAGAGGCAGTCTTGATGTGGGAGGCATAGGATCACGTGGTAACAAACGATGTCTGATGCGCTGAGGAGTGTCGTACTGGACCCACGTTTCGTCACTGATGAGCATTTGACTAAACATGGGTGTGTTACGACTACGAGACAGCAATGGCAAACAGGAGATCACCCAAGGCTCCTTGTTGACTACTTGACAGTGTGTGGGACACTCACTTGCTCAACTTCTACACCTTCCCTGTGCATTGCAGATGAATTCTGACTGCTTCCTCAGAAACCGGGAAGTGTTCAGCAAGTTTACTACACGTTTGACTACTGTCCTGCTGTATGGTTGCCTTTAGTTATGTTCTATGGTTGCATCATCATCCAACATTTGAGGTAGTTACTTACAGAATTCATCACAATGGCTTAGCTTTCCTGACTTGAACTCCTGGAACAAAAGCTCGGCGATACGCTAATTCATGGCATCCTTCCCAAATATCTGACATATTCGACGGCTTTGATGAGGCTGCTGACAGGACCATTTAATATCATAAAGTAAACAACCGTGAAATAGCCGCTTCGGTACCTCTATTTCTCTTCAACACTGAACGAACTGTGTGCATGCAATATGCCTATATGAATACTGCTCAATTACTCAATTAGGTATATTAATCCACCATCGCTTTCCGAGGGCATGAATCCCTTCGTTTCCTCCCCGGGAACGCTTCATCAAATGGGATGCCAAAAACAGCAAGAACGTTTTTGGTGATCTTGGGGGGGGGGGTAATATGTTACATACGAGAGTTAAAATACTGAATGGAAAAAGTTTTATGGAAATTTCAATTTGTCGTTTAGAACAATAATTTTTAATTACATATAATTCGGTATTGTAGAACATCATGTTGTCTACTGTAGAAAAATAATGAGCTGCAGCAAAGAGTATTGACAAATCATTTTCCCCTACTTTAATATTAATAAATAATGTCTTCTTCAGTTTCTTTTTAACACAATAATGTAAAAGTTCATTATACATTCTCAGCAGAAGCAGAAAGCTCTTAAAATTTCAATAACAACTGGAAGAAGCCCTAAGTATAAAGTTGTTTTATTTGTCCTTTCCGGTTGATAAGGGCAAGGCATTCACTGCTGTCGAGCTGTCCCAACAATTCAGGTGCAATTACTTTCCGCAGATAGCTAAAAGATACACAGTTCATTAGATTAATAAATTTTAATATTCCAAATTATATTAAAAGATGATGTAAAATTCCTAAACTAAGTTCTTAAAAATATATTCTCTCTTGGTGCTGCCAGGAAAAAAGGTACTGACTGTTATGGTAACAAGATTTACGATTTTATCAATGTCATATTGTATTGTGCATTTATTTATACAGGTAGTGAAGGAAATGATGTTGGAAAGGACCGGAAGCAAATGTATCTGCTTCAGGAATGTTCGGAATTTTAATTAATTTAATATCGGTATTTTTTACAACGTGAGGAAATGAAGTTGCAAAAAAATTTAAGCGGAAGTATATTTGTCTTCCTCGATCTTTTGATAAGCGCCCAAGATCATTTGTTGTGAGGATTTCTCAGCTAGATGATATCTCACCTTTGTTTGAGGATATTTAAACGGCTTTGTTTAAAAAAAATACTTCATTGCCTGAAAACAGGCTGCGTGGATTAAATGAAGCTATACTGAGACGCTTGAAAAAAAATGCATGACTTACACAGAGATTTTATCATTTAAAACACGCAAAAATTTATATTTGGAACACCTTGTGCGCAAATTTAGTTAGCATCATTTGCTCGAAAGTAGGTAGTTGCAAATGAAATTACTATCATATGTAAAACGAATACGGCATTTCCAATTTGAGAATTCTGGAAATTTACGATCGGCTTTGCTTATTTATAAAAAAACACACACAATATATAACACAGGAGTAATGTATATTAGTCAATTATTTTCATGAGTTAAAAGAAAAATAGAGGCAAAGCTGATATTTTGATATTACTTAATGCATCAATAAAGCAGTCGCTTCAAGTGACTACACGCAAATTATTAGAAGAGTGTAATAAATTTTCTAACAGTGACCCGTTTATAAATGTTGGCACAGTCATACAAGTCTGTCATTCTTCACATGTGTGTCCACCATAAAGGTATGCACCGGTATGCAAGTATGATTTTCTTTTGTTGAGAATGACAGAAGAAAACCAAAAACTTATTTTTGTTGTGCTATCCGATCTCTTCTGTAACTTCAAGACTAGAAACAGTTTGTTTCGTGAGGTACATCAACAGCTGTTAAATTTACATTTCTCAGATCATCCTCATCTTTTTGAGTTCCCGCACACGTGGGAATTCAGGGAAATGAAATTGCTGACCATTTGGCGAAAAGAGCAGCTATGTCCACATTTGCACAAGAGACACAAGTCCCACTACCAATTTCTCACCTCAAAGCCTTTACATAGCAATATTTGATGCAGCAATGGCGAATGCGATGGGAAACAGCTTTAACTGGAAGAGGAATCTTCAAAAGTATCAACGAATTTGCTGGGCAAAACGAGTTGGATAACATGGTTTTTTCAATGGAATATGGTCCTTTTCTAACCTATCTTCATCGTTTTCGAAAGAGATATATGCGACTGTGGCAAGTTGGGAGATCCAGAACATTATATCTTTGAATGTCCTGAAACTAAAGAATTCCCCCTCAATAAACTTGCTGATGCAAACTGATCAGCCCGGCTCATTGCCACACTAAAAAAAAAAAAAAAAAAAAAAAAAAAGAATTATACTAGCAAAGTTGGCAAAGATCTTCATGCACTGCCGTGAGCGTTACCGTGCGGTGTCACAACAGCATAATGTTCGCTATTGCTAGTTATAGATAGAGATCTAACTTATAATGAGCAAGTAATTACTAGAATCTGTAAATTATACAATAACTGCAATAAATCTCAATTATGCAACAATCGTAGACACATGACTTGGCTCATTATAGATACTATTAGTTGACTACAAAACTGTAGCGCATTCATTTGAGGATATTCTTAGTGTTATTTACTTTTAATATATTATTTAATCAAGTTCTTCTCTAATTCATGTTGTCTTACTACTTATATATATATATATATATGTGTGTGTGTGTGTGTGTGTGTGTGTATGTATGTATACTTCCTTCAAACATTAAATGTTGTAATATGCTAAATGCATAGCGTAGCATAAAAACCATGGTGAATAATGTAAAAGCTTAAAGATGCACGAATTTGTGCACCATGTAATGTTGTATATAACATAATCTGCTAGAAATTATCACTGCGAATAATGAAAGTAATAGTTTAAAGAAGCATGCACTTGTGCAACATGTAATATTTTATGTAATTTAACAGTATGTAACCTACAACGCTTGAATCAGAAAATGTGTGTCTGCCGGTAGCTTTTTTACATTTTCGTCGGGATGATATGTATCCGTTAAGCACTCCAGACATTATCCGTTAGGCACCACAGGCTTAAGCCCGATGTCATCTCGACGCCGAGAAGTACAAGGTATCTGACCTCTTTTTGGCACTCAGTTGTCACTTATTTTCCTTCAGAATGAACTAAGTTTTACAAATCATAACTGAAATTTACACTTTTAAGCAACCTTGGGAATGTATGTAAAATAATTACACAAGAAAAGTGATGGCTGTTTTTACTGGTTACTATGTAATTAATAGAAACAAAAACTAACTTTTTAAGCGTAGTATTTCTATTATTTTAGTCACTCTCAGTATTTATAAATCGTTTTATTATCTCACGTATTTTAATATTAGCTGCGTTTCCGCTTTTAATATATAAGTTTGCAGTAACTTATAAGGTATTTCTCCCGCCTTCCTAGCGTGCCTTCGTGGTGTAGTGGTTCTGCACGCTGAGCCGGTATTCCAGAGGTCCGTGGTTCGATTCCCGGCGAAGGCGGCTGTTAATTTTTCATTTGTCTTGTTTCCAAAAATCCTAATGTCTCTACAAGCGTGCTGCTCTCGTCAGTTCATTTATCTTGGAATCGTTAACTTAATTTGCACCTGTGCTCATAACACTGACACCAAATGGACACGATTTTTACTGTTGAAACCGTTTGATGTTTTCATTTTAACATATTTCCGCCGTTGTTTCGAATTCTATAAGTACAATAATCTTATAATTTTCTGTTTTTTCGTGGCTAACATAAGAGGTCAACAAGTTATAGTTTTCATTCAATATGTTAAGTAACCTCCACCCTGCTTAGGGCAAGTGCATAACTATGCTGACCATTGGTAATTCGACACTGATTTTAATGCAAGCGAGCAACTTAGCTGCTTGATGTAATATTGGTTTTCCCCACGTGTAAGATAAGTACGAGCCGAAAGTATCCTTTCTGTAAGGTAGATGGCCTTCGTACATTTTGCCATATACAATAAATAAACACATGTGCTCCTAGATATATTCGAAAGCTTTTCCTAGTAATTATATAATACGGTTTAGTCTTCCTCTCTAAAGACTATTCTTCCATGCTACGAAGTAGGTTAAGACCCCTGGAAATTGGTAGATAGTCTTACATTAGGTTCTTTAAAAGGAAGCTTGTTAGGAATATTTCCTTATGTGTAACATTAGTACGAGTCTTTAAAAACTCTTGCACAAAGCCTCCATTCTAAAAGCAGATAATCTTGGCGTACTTTGCTGCTACAGATTAATGAATTCAGTGGCTTACGTTAGCAGACCATTTTTTATTTAAACCGATCTCTCATTCTCGAATTCTGTTGAAGAATACTGAATTTATTTTATAAGAAGGGTTTATTAGTGTTTGAAGAGAAATTTGTATGTGAGCTAACACCATAGTTAACATGTGGCCAGCATGTTGATCTCGAAAACATTTTGACTAATCGTGGCTGTAAGATATTTTTTTAGGTTTTCTTATTCATTATAACATAATTTATTTTAGACTTCATCACCTCAGGTCTTCGATCAGGTCAGGCAGCTTAAAAACGTTACAGACAGCAGCTCTAGTATAATTTTTTATCAAAAAATCTATCGCAACAACCAATCTTTATTCTCACCTCTTTCTCTAGCTTGTCTCATTACATTCAAGTCTTGACAGTAAATAAAATTAGAGAGCTGATTTGCTTCATCTTCCGCAACACTTATAAATTCTCAATAATAACAGTTTGAAGGTAAATTGTATACAGACTCGATACAGTCAAATACTCGATACAATATTGACTCGATACAATCAAATAATGTGTGGATAAAGGCTGTAACACTACAGTCCCAAGGCAAACTTTATAAGGTAAACAGAGCAAGAAATTTATACACGTTTTACATTTAAAAAAGGGCTTTCAAACGTTTTTGTTTGCAGCCATATAAGATGTTTATAAGAAAAGGTAATAAGATGAATTAATTAATTTATATTTAAATGCTTTTCCTATTTATTTTCTAACATTATGATGAATTAAACCTAGATTTGTCAGATGTCTAGGCTTCCTGGAACAGTCCCGATTTTTGATGAAAGCTTACGCTGTCTCGAAAAAAAATGTTTTTTGAGCGTGAATTTGTTACGAATTTGTTTCCATAAATGAAAATTTAGGGGATGGAGTAGAATATGATATAGATTTGAATTTGTGAGACAGATAATTCGTTTCTAATTTATAGTTGGAAAAACCTTTTTCAAAAACATTTACTGTTGATGGCAACTGCTTTTGCCGTTTTTCTATCTAACCTTCATTTGTGAGAATGTTGATTTCCTTGTGGAAGGTTAGCGATTGGTACTTCTCAAGACATTCATCTTGTGACACTTTTATGACCATTTCATCGCCCTATCTGACTATTTTGTCGATTGTTCCTTTTGGACAACTGTTTGGATAGACTCTTTTATTATCCTAAATTGTAGCTATGAGTCGAATATCATGGTGGATGTGGCTTTACATTCGTATTTGTTAGTGGTAGTTCTTGCACATGTTTGATTTCAAGTAGTTCTTTTCGAGGTTTAGATATAATAATGTCTTCCACAGCACAAGAATGTACCTAATCTATTCCATGGCAGATACAAGAATATTCCAGAGCAATTTCATTATCTCTCATATACTAGAATATACACAGAATACACCAACGACCGTTTGTTTTCATATGCCAGAAATATTCCCAGAAATTTATTCCTTTATTGAAATATGTTTGGAACGTTCTAGGAATATTCCTTAAAACTTATGAACTATTACCCTGGGATATGCCCGGAATGTTCCAAATCACTTGAGAATTTTTTGGGAATGTTGTGAGATGATATGGGATGAAAATGGAATACATCTGGGATATTCTGTTCTGTGTGAGAAGAAGTATAAAAGTTACAGTCAGTTGAATTATTTTATTGCTTTTATTAACAATATAAAACACTGCTGTGTAATAATTTTCTTAAATTTTTTTATTAAAATTTATTTTGGGGACAAAGCGTGACTCTTTTTTTTTTTTTTTTTCACAAATACATTTGATGACAACAATAAGACAGGTGTCTCGGTTTGTCAGTCAGACTTAAGATAAATATCCCGGTTTGTTGAACAGAAGAAGAGGCAATCTTAGTCGGCATGTTCTCAATCAAGCTATCACTTCTCGAAGTTGAGAGGTGATAGCTTGATTGAGAACATGCCTTGAAAAGACGATTAATGAAAAGCAGATAGTCAGCCTTACAGAATCGAGAAGTAAAACTCAATGTGAAGAATGCAGCACTTTTACTTGCTTTAAATATGGTGTTTTAAAACGATGCTGCTCAGTGTATTGCAAAGTCGAAAGTTAATAATCGTAATTTAAATAAAATTAATATTTTTAATGTATTTCTAATATTGCGCAGCTAATTCCTCACTCTTTCTAACTGTCCATCTGATGCACGTGTCTCACACTTGTTCCAGTCTTGCTTTTAATGTTGATTACGGCTGGCAATTTTCTTCATATAGGTTAATCGAGGGGAGAAAACAGTTTTAGAAATATTTTAAATAGCGCATTATTTAAACTAAACTAAACTAAATTTTATTTAGTACTTGTAAATATTAAATTTTATTTCAGTATAAGGTATTTCCTCCCTTCTTTCTGCATGTCTTCGTAGTGTAATGATTAGCACACTCGGCTCGTATTCGAGAGTTCGAATCCCGATGAGGGCATTGCTCATTTTTCACCTTTCCTGCTTCGAAAAAATCTAATGTCTCTACAGTGACGCACGAAATATAAAGGTGGTGGATGATGATTCATCACCACCATGATTTGGCAATTGGGTTCCCTAAACACCAGTCGCCCTTTAAAAGGGGAGTATAAAAGGTCGGTTTGAAAGCCTAAAAAAAAAGCACGCACCAAACCACAGAGTATATAAAGTATTTTCTCCTTCCTTTTTTCATGCCTTCGGGGTGTAATGGTTAGCACACTTCGCGCGTGTTAGAGAGGTACAGGTTCGAGTCTCGGCGAGGGGACTGCTCATTTTTTCCCTTTGCTGCTTTGAAAAAACCTAATGTCTCTCACTACAACAGAGGCTGGGTCGTTTTTGTGTTTTACAATGAAATTTAAATTACTATCGCTATATAAGAAGCCCATGTCTTATATGGAGCTGGACTTTTATTAAGGTGAATGATGTTTTGTTTACTGAAATTTTAATATTGAACACCTAAAAACACCCAATAACACTGCAAGAAAATGTTTACATCTTAGAACAGGAAACTATTATTATCTCTATTATGTACCTACCTTATTAATACCTCTATACACATTTTAGAAGCAAAAAGTACTAATGGGTTACTATAAATTTTTAAAGTATAAGAAGCCAGTGATTAATTTCAGCTGAAAGGCGATGAAGTTTTTTAGAGGGGGGAAGGGCATCTGAGCTGCTTCGCCTTTTTCATTAGTATTTAAATCATTAAATATCACGCAGTTTTTATATTATATAAAGTTCTCAGAGTTACTAACGAAGAGGTAAAAAATGAATTATTCACGGCATAATCCTTTTGATTGTCTACTATTAGGAAGAGGCGATTACAGAAAGGATTTTCAATTTATTTCCTTTTTACGCCATATATGGGAAATAATACGAAAACCTGTAACCAAATCCATTTAAAAAAAAAAATTATTTTTTTAAAGCAAAAAATGCCAATTTTTAACTGTAATATCAACAATATCTCTAAATTAAAAGAAAAAAAAAAACCTTCACCATAAAAATTTGAGTTCGGACCCGTTATCATATCAAATGTAATGTTTGATATAAATGAAAAAAAAAGGGCAACCTTTAAAATCAATGTACTTATTAAATTCAGCAATTTTATTGCACAACCTAATTTTATGCATTAAACTTCAGGCTAAATTTAAGTTTCACTTCGTATGAAAAAGTAATATTCCTCACAAATATTCAATATAAATAAAATGATTACATGTAAAGAAATGAAATGTCATTTAAAACATTTGCATTCTTTTTGTCTCTGGGATCATATTCATTTCTGCACCGTTTTTAATTAATTTCAATTAATTTTTTTTTTTTCTCCTTTGAGAATATAATAAGAAATGCATAATTTCTCTCGGGCGAAAGCTAAATGAGGTTGGGAAGAAAAAACGGGTAAAGTCTATCGACATAGATCTAATAAGTAACAAATAACGGATAATGCGATAACGGATGCTAACTGCGGCATAGATCTCGTGATTGCCTACTTAGGAAGAGACGGTTGCAGGAAGAATTTTCAATTTATTTCGTTTTTGGGCTACATATGGGCAAAAAGAAGAAAACACACCTGTAACAAAACCCATTTTACCCAGATCCTCGAATCTTGTAAGCAACCAAGAGTCTTAAATGGTTCTGTCAGACACTATTCATACAAGACAACTCATTATTGAAAAAATATGTGAAACGATTATGCATAGGAGGACAAGTAGATTATGTGCAAAGGATAAAGTAAATAAAACAAAGTTATGCTATAGAATGACCAAAGATTTCTCAGAAATTCTTTTACGTAATATTTATAAATAAGTTTCCTAATATTGATTTTGAAATATGTATAATAATTACTTACATGAAAAATAACAAACCAAAAGTTATTAGGCCGAAGGAAAGCAGAAAAACCAGTTCCGGGGCTCCTGCTTCAATGCACAACTTTTCCAGTGCTTCATACGCTGACATAGAGATCAACTGAGTAACAAGCATCCAGAAACCTACTCCAGCATATATACATCCTTAAAAAGTAAAGTACAACTTTTAGAAAAAATAAAGCAACAATTTTTAAAGAGCAAATTTTGAGTATGTTTAATAAATCAAATTAAATAGGCCCTTCAAGCTATATATATATATATATATATATAATATATATATATATTATTATTTTTTTTCTTCTTTTTGATGTTGTCTTAATAAAAATATACGAAACTTAACATTTTACAAGAGACCAAAAGTAAGAAAATATGCGTTAAGGGGGAAAATTGTTTTCATCGTCAAATCGTTTAAGCAGGGAAGGAATTTGGGAAAAAAATATCTTTCCACATGCCATTAAAATTATGCTAAATATTACTTCTTAAAAGCTTTACATAGATCCTTCCTCCTCGGGCTTTACAATAGCAGAGTGTGTATAAGGTGTTTAAGTCTTTATACTTCGTAGAAGAAGTCTCCTTTGAAAACTTACGTAAGCCTAGAAGTGAACACCGATTGTCAGTGATTTCTCTGGGCGGATATTTCAATGATTCTCAAAGTTTGATAGTTTTCCGTTCTAAAGTCGGGAAGACAAACCAGCATAACGGAATGATGTATTGAACTGAGTCATCAGGGTCTGACACTGAAAGATACAAGGACTACGATGTAGGGAAGAGATGATGAAGATGATCACTATTAATATCTTAACTTCATTTGTAACCATCAGGCCACTATTTATACAATTTTTATGTTTATTATCCTCAATATTAGATTAGTCGAGAGGTATGGCATGGTTTGCCAGAAATACGACACTATATAGAACTTGAAATATGATACTATATTTGATTGCTTCGATTGACGCGCCTTCCTTACTCACCTCCTCCACTACACAGTTTTTTCGTGAGAAAAATAGAACGTTGCGCAGATATACCTCAAATCTACATGTTTTCTCAACTAAAGTCAGCTCTTTTGCATCCTTGCATGGAACAAGTATCGAATGATATCTCTTTTTTACACTTTTCTTTCACAGAAATGAAAATGTTCTTCAAATTTCTTTCGTTAACTGAAAAAGGTATTATAAGTGAAGTTTTCGAATGTGAATTTACAAAAGATGCTTATCTTATAAAAGCATTAATTTAGAAGAGCTAATTTAAATAACCTTTGCTAAATTTCTAATCAGTTAATGAATTTCGATTTTTGTATTGTAGGGTTTATATTTATTTTAACTAACATTTATTTTAAGTTTAAACTATCTTTCCTGTCAATCCTTACTTTCCCCTGGAACTGCCAATGCCAGAATATGTAAATTTGAGTAGAACGCGCAAGCATTCAAATTATCAGCGGAAGTAGTATGATTTAAATAGAAGGAAACAAGTTCGGTGAGAGAGAGTTATTCTTACTTAGCGAGCGCGGAGGTAGTTATAGAGATTTGAAAAACCCCGCGTTGCGGCCTATGTGCTTGGCGGGAAGTAGTTGCAATTGTTCCAGTGAGCTTCAAGTCTGCTGAATTAGCAGCCGTATTGTAAAACGCGGTGAGTTAGTTATTTGAGAGAGCCTCGTAGTTAGAATATTGTCTTTAATTTCTTTTCAGGTTTTTATTTTTATTTTGACTGCCGAGTTGGCACCGTTTGTAAGCGTCAAGAGAACGCAATTGTAAATTAGTACGTTGAATAAAAAGGGACTTAAACCCTTTATAAGACTCTGTGGTTTATACAAGCTTTCACAGTCACCTCTTGGTTGCGTGCTAGTTAGAGGCGCGCAACGTTATATTGGCGCCCGAACACTTATCGAACTGAAATGGCCGAAAACTGGATGGAAGCCGCTGGACAACACCAAGAAATGACAACGCAGTTAGAAGGATTTGGATACCTGGTCCAGACTTTGAGAGCATCAATCAAGCCAAACGTCTATTTCGACGGAAAAAATTCGGTGTCCGTATTTTTAGAAGGTATAGAAAACCACTTTCAGCTCTATCCTGTGCCCGAAAGACAAAAAGTTGCTATCGCCACATCAGCACTAAGAGGACAGGCCGCGCTATGGTGGAAAAATATAGGCAAATTTCTTCTAGGTGAATTTGGAAGCCCGACGTATACTTTTGAAAATTTCAAAAAATCGTTAGTAAAGGCCTTCCCCATAGTGAAAGATCGCGCACGGCTGGAAGCCGAGCTATATAGTTTCTATCAACGGGATACAGCACAATTGACGGACTTTATTTTACGAAAAATCAAGCTAACGGATATGCTGTATGGCAAGAAACCCGATGCGGAGATAATTGAAATAATATTACCAAGATTGTTACCCGCTGTTCAAGACTACTTTGAAATTAGAAACCCAACCACATTGCAGGAACTTTTCGAATTGGCGGTGAAGTTTCAAAATCGCAGAATCGCGGAAAGAGCGAGAGGGGAAACATATTCTCAAAGTACCAGAAGGAAGGAGGAAACAAGAAATGGAAATCGCTCATATGGGGGAAAGAACTATCAAGCTAACGCATCGAAACTTGAAGGGCAAGGCCCAAAAAGAAAATTTGAAAATAAGCATCCGCGTACCCAGAAGACACAGATTGAAAGGAAAGCTTTAAACGACTAGAGGGGCCTGTGAAAGGGAGGGTCCAGACCCCGGAAGTTTTAGAAAAACCCTCAAATAGACATCTAAATACAGTCATCGTAAAAAAACTCACAGCTACCAATTATACAAGTCCTGGTTGGCGATGTACCAGTAGAAGCCCTCATCGATACAGGGGCAGAAGGCAATTTCATGAGTGAAAAGTTCTTCAAAAAGAATTTTTATAGGATACGACTCTTTAAAACCAGAAATACGGAAATTATAGCGGCGCAAGGAAAAACATGTCACTGCATCGGGAAAGTAGCATTAAACGTACAGGTAAAAGAGGAAAATCTCAAAGTATTAATTTTTGTGGTGAAACACCTCCAACACTCTCTTATTTTAGGTATGGACTTTTTAAGGGCCGCGAGGGCCAAATTAAATTTTCAAGATAGTTCCGTGGTGCTGGAGATGGACCAGAGGGTGGTGGAACCGGTGGAGACACCTGAATTGGACCTTAGCCATTTGAATGACCAGGAAAGTAAAGCAATACAGCAAGTGGTGAGTAATTTTTCTCATTTGTTTTCAGAAAAGCCGGGAAACTGTCAGATTGTAACTCACAAGATTCAATTAAATGCCGAAAAACCTTGTAGGACTAAACCTTACCGCTATGACAAACAAAAAGACGTAATCATCGAAGAACATATTCAGGAGATGTTAAAGAATAAAATAATAACGCCCATAAATAGTGAATACGCGAGTCCAGTCGTACTATGTAGGAAAAAGAACGAGTTTCCTCCTTCGGATAAAAGGGCTTGGAGGTTTGCTATCGATTATAGAAAACTAAATAGCATAACTAAATTCCCAGTTTACCCTTTGCCGGTTATAGACGAGATCATTAGACAGATCAAATCGACGAGATATATGTCTACTTTGGACTTAACGTCTGGCTACTATCAAATAGCTATGAGACCCGAAGATATACATAAAACCGCGTTTATAACAAAATCGGGCACTTATGCATTTTTACGCATGCCTTTTGGGTTGTGTGGGGCCCCGTCAACATTCCAGAGAGCTATGGACATTGTTCTAAAGCCTGTCCTAGGAAAATCAACTTTAATTTATCTAGATGATATAATTATAACGAGTAGTACGTTGGAACAACACATTAGTGATCTCGAACAAGTTTTTAAATTATTAAAAGAGGCCGGTCTTACAATTAACGCCTCAAAATGCAAGTTCGCAACTAAAGAACTTAAATATCTCGGTTATAAAATTTCGCAAAAGGGTATAGAAACGCAAGATTCAAAAATAAAAGCTATTAAGAATTTCCCACCGCCCAACACCGCCAAGAAACTTTCGTCTTTCCTTGGACTATGTTCTTACTATCGATCTTTCATAAAAGATTTCGCTAATATTGTTGAACCACTCTTAGTAATCAAAAGAAAAAAAAAGAGTAAATTTACGTGGACAGCGGAAGCTAACACGGCTTTTGAAAGATTAAAAGAAGCGCTTATTAATGCCCCTGTTTTAAAATTCCCTGAGGGGGACGAAAACCTGGAAATTGCGGCAGATGCATCAGACTATGCGGTGGGTGCGGTTCTTATGCAAAATAACCATCCGCTGGCATTTTTTAGTAAAACATTGAATCAAACACAAAGGAATTATACAGCTACAGAAAGAGAAACATTAGCCGTATTAATGGCTGTACACAAATTTCGAGTTTATTTCGGCAAATCGCCAGTAACTGTCTTTTCGGATCATGCGGCTGTTGGTAGACTTTACTCGGGAAAAAACCTAACGCCCAGGTTAATAAGATGGGCTTTAAAACTCCAAGAATATAATATCACAATAAAATATAAACCGGGTAAGGAAAACAATGTAGCTGACGCACTTTCTCGTATAAAACTGGACGAGGAAGGTAATGAACTTAAATGCGCTGTGTTGACTTCAAAAATTTTAGATTCTAGAGATACGGTTATTACTGAACTGAAAGCTGATCCTGAATTTGGAAATATCTATGCTTATTTGAAAGACCCCGAAGGCTTTGAGCATACAGATATCGATGCGATAAGAAATAGAGCAAAAAACTATGAAATAATAGATAATTTATTATTCTATACGAAAACAACGAACGAAAATCTTGAGTATAAGCCAGTCATCCCAGCCTCGCTTCGATTAAGCATTTTGAGGGAGTTGCACGAAAAAAAAAAAACAGCGGGCCACCTCGGGGTCAGAAAGACTTTAAAAAGGGTACGCGAGGCGGTATATTTCCCGCAATTATACAAAATAGTAACGGCGTATGTCAGGTCCTGCAATCAATGTCAGTTAATAAATGATATTAATTACAGCCCGGCCGGGTACTTAAATAGCATTCGCGCTACATTTCCGAATGAAATTTTAGGCATAGATCTCCTTGGTCCCTTCCCCCAGAGCGAGTTAAATAAAAATCGTTTTCTTTTAGTAATAGTAGATCATTTTTCAAAATGGATAGAAATTGTTCCACTTAAACGCGCGTCAGCCAAAACAGTCGCAGATGCATTCTTACACAGATACATTTTAAAATACGGTGCACCGATAAAAGTCATTAGCGATAACGGAAAACAATTCATTAGTCAAATATTTGAAAACATATGCAATGGACTTGATATACGCCATATCAAAATGGTTCCGTATAGACCACAGGCTAACATAGCAGAAAGAGTTAATAAAAACATTGTAAAAATAATTCGCAGTTACGTTAGCACACATCACAAGCGCTGGGATGGCTACATAAATGAATTAGCTTATGCTTTAAGAACGGCACATCATGATACTACGGGAAAAACTCCAGCAGAATTATTTTTAGGCAGAAAGTTAATTACGCCTTTAGATAAATTATTCTTTGTGCAACAAAGAGAGCAGGAATTCAGACAAAAGGACGTGCAAAAACTAATTGATCAGGCGCTTAAAACCTCGGATACGGCAAGAAATAGGCAGAAAATTTATTACGATAAAAACGCCGTGAAGCAGATTTTAAAGTTGGGGATAAAGTATTGAAACGGAAATTTTCTTTATCAAGTGCCCCAGACAATTTTATGGCAAAGCTAGCTCCAAAGTTTGAAGGCCCCTATGTAATTCAGGAAATCAAAGGAGTAGTTTATATCTTAAAAACGAGAGAGGGGAAATCTGTAAAGCAAGTCCCGACCAGGTGAAAAAATACTATAATCCCAATGATTTTGAAATCCTTAAAAGTTTCTTGCAGGACTCAAGTCTAAACGAAATAGAAGGGCCAGAGACTGCAACAACTATTCCACCACCCAAGAACGGAGAGGAGAACTGAAGAGAGACCTAGCACTTCTACAACCCGGACGTCGGTATCAAAAAGAAAAAAATGATTATCAAACTCCGGCGTTTAAGAAAAACAAAAGTACAGATGAACCGGGTAAAGAAACCGTGGTAAAAAGAAAAACACCACCTACAAAGGATGGCAGGAGGAATTACACATCAAGAAGAACGCGCACACGGCCACAGAGTCAGGTGCCAGCAAGGCCGCCGTTCCGGAAACTGAAACGCCAACAGGAAGCACAGAAGTACGAGGAACAGAAGAAATTCAAGGACTCCAGACCGGAGGACGTCAAGACCAGCCGTCCCAGGCAGAAACGCAAAAGCCAACAACCAGACGATTACTCCGTCAAGAGGCCAGCATGTAGAGGACGCAAAAGAAAGAAAGATCAACGGGGACGACAATTGGAGATCAACAAGGAGAAGATTGACATCCATGACACCTCTAACTTGGGATCAATTTTGTCAAAAACGGATGACGGAGTTTCAAGCATCGAAAACTCAAAGATAAGTTAAAACCTTCTATAAATATTTTTCTCTTTTGTTCCGAAATGTTATGCATAAGTACGAAGTTCTATGTTTTGACGAAAGTCAATATGTCTCGGTTGAGACTTAGTTTTGTTTTACTTTATTTAGCTAAGGCAAAAGTATTATTTTCTTTAAGTGTAAAAGCTAAAAACAAGCATTTTCTGTTGGTCGAAAGACTAATTCTGTTATGTTAAAGCCAAAATTTGGCCGGAGATAAAAATAACTTCGTATTCTTGTATGTACTAATAAGAATTTTAGTTTCAGTGCCGCCAGCTTGGCGAAGGATGAGTAAAGTAAAAATTTATTTTCTCTTATTCATTTTATGGTAAATTGTAAAAAGCATATGTATTAAACTTTTGTAAATGTATGTAAATACTTGCATGTTATGTAAAAGTAGAATTTAGTCTAGAAGCATAAAATTGTAGATGCTAAAAGTGAATGCTTAAAAGCAATGAAGTCAAAATTTAAGTATTAAACTGTAAAGTCATGCTTTAGAGCGAAAGCCTGCATGTTTAAAAGATGAATGAGGGGGAAGTTAGAATGAATGTGTTTTGTAGGGTTCTCCACCTACATTTGAATTTTTAAGAATATTAAAGTAGCTCATTGAGTTGTAGAATGTCGAGTAAGGTGTGTCTATTTGGTTGTTGAATTCTAACAAATCATGGTGGTTAGGGGAAGTGTTGTAAGACTAAAACACGAATATTCCCGTTTGACACCACACACGGTGGAGAGCCAGGGTAAAGTTAAATTAATGCTTGAAAAATTGAATGAATGTGAAGTAAGCAATAACTAAGAAAAACGAAACGTTAAAAACAAAAATTTATTGTGTCAAGAAAGTGTAAATTATAATGTATGTAGAAAGATACTGATACTTATTCCTTCCAGATGCTGGAAGGAAAGACCAAGATTGATTGATGAAGTCCAGGAAAAGTTGCTGTAAGAAGAAACCTTTGTAAAGAGTAACAGAATTTTAATTGTTACATAAGATTATTTTTGTGTAAACGAGGCTTTCGCCAGTTAGTTCAGAATTAGATAAACTTACAACAGGTCGTTTGTAGGACCTGCTTCCAAGTTTTCCAAATTCTGGCAGCGGCAAATGTAGGGTTTATATTTATTTTAACTAACATTTATTTTAAGTTTAAACTATCTTTCCTGTCAATCCTTACTTTCCCCTGGAACTGCCAATGCCAGAATATGTAAATTTGAGTAGAACGCGCAAGCATTCAAATTATCAGCGGAAGTAGTATGATTTAAATAGAAGGAAACAAGTTCGGTGAGAGAGAGTTATTCTTACTTAGCGAGCGCGGAGGTAGTTATAGAGATTTGAAAAACCCCGCGTTGCGGCCTATGTGCTTGGCGGGAAGTAGTTGCAATTGTTCCAGTGAGCTTCAAGTCTGCTGAATTAGCAGCCGTATTGTAAAACGCGGTGAGTTAGTTATTTGAGAGAGCCTCGTAGTTAGAATATTGTCTTTAATTTCTTTTCAGGTTTTTATTTTTATTTTGACTGCCGAGTTGGCACCGTTTGTAAGCGTCAAGAGAACGCAATTGTAAATTAGTACGTTGAATAAAAAGGGACTTAAACCCTTTATAAGACTCTGTGGTTTAATCTCAAATAAACTGACTGTGGACTATTTACGAAGGTGAGTGCGTCAGTGGGTCATAAGATTTCAAAATGGCCGAACCAATGTTCACGACGAAGATCGAAGTGGGAGACCCAGCATAGTGACCGCCGAACTTCTCGAAAAAGTCGATGCTAAAGTCCGTGAAAATCGAAATTTCACAATAACGGAACTTTCTTTTGTTTTTCCACAAATTTCGCGAAGTTTGTTTGCACGAAATCATCAGCGAAAAGCTTGGTTACCACAAGTTTTGTGCAAGATGGAAGGAAAGAAGAGGTAACGAAGTGGTTGAAGGCGCAGGCGGCCGAATTTTTCGACGAAGGAATTTCCAGCTCGTACATCGCTACGATAAATGCCTTAATTTGTATGTGACTATGTAGAAAAGTAGTATTGAGTGTGGCTTTCATCGTATATAAAAAATTGTTTCCTATACTTTGTTTATTTTTTTATTCCAAAACGTAATCTACTTTCTGGATAGCCCGTACAAGCTTTCACAGTCACCTCTTGGTTGCGTGCTAGTTAGAGGCGCGCAACGTTATAGTATGACCCACCCACTAAATCAACTCTTCTCGATTCTTCTTTGCATCGCATGAAAGTGGCTTTCAGCCCAGAATTTTTTTCGTTTATATGGCCAGTTTTGCATATTATTAGCCTCCCCTAGCTTTCAAAGGATTTAGAGGATTAAAAACCTCTTTTTAATAGGAAATTTCATTTTAGAGGATTAAGAACCTCTTTTTAATAGGAAATTTCTTCGAAGAGAAACCATAAAAAATTTAATTTCCGTACTTTTGTCATGTAACAATTATTATAATATAAAACCGTACCTTATCTGACTCCTTTCTTAAATTCTAATCACTATGATCAACCGTAGGAACTTCATTTTACAAGCTTCTATTATCTAGAAAATAGAATACAAGCTTCTATTTTCTTAATAGTTGTACACATTTTCAATCACATTGCAATGACAAAGTATAAATGCAATCACAATTTTTTACTTGGATCAAGAAATTTAGTTCCCTGCTTAGCCTCAAAATCCTTTAAATAACTGATTTAGCTGCATGGATGTAAGTTTGTACGAGCTCACTCTGACAGAAAAATGTTTGCCAGGTGAATATTTTGAGAGGCAGTAGAGAAATGCAAGTCGCTTTTAGGTCATGCAATACAGGAACGGAAGAAATTTCACTGTTGCTAATTTTCTTCGTTGTAGTATTTATAAACTTAGTCATATAAATTTGAAAATATATGTTCACATACATACCAATTGTCTCATAAATGTCGTCACCCTTCAAAAAATCGTGTAAAATCGGTAAATTGACAAACATGGTTAAGGTTTGCACACAAATCTTCATAGAAGCATTTTTTTTTTTTTTTCGGGAGGGTGACACGAATAAATTTTAGTTCCAAATTTTACCGAAAGATGACATTTTAAGAACAAATGAGAAAAAGTTATGCAGCGTTTATCCGTTTGTATATATGAACATACTGCAGATGGAAATGTGCAGATAACCCTCGTGTGCTTTGCCGAAATTAAATACCTCAATTCAAGTGCCCTTGGAAAACACTTAAAGACTGCCTCCTTCCCTTTCGGTAATTAACTTTCCCCTACTTCGTGTAGTTAAGGACATTAAATGCTGTTCATTACAATTTTATAGCATTTATGCAAGCTAGGCCAGTTAACAAAATCACTACGATAATTCTTTAGCAGTTCACTTTTTCTTACAGATTTAGTATCTCGCAGTTCTTAAGTGATCAGATCAACTTGGGGTAGGTTATTTCATTATGGCAAAGCACACGAAGGCTTATCTGCCTAAGCGAAGGAATGCATTCGTAGAGGTGTTCCCAAGGAAAACTGGCTCTTATTCAGTTAGGGATAACCACAAAAACCAAACATGCAGCCAGCCTTTTCGCCTGTGTTCGAACCTGGTTTGAACAATCAGCATCCAGTGGTCTTAACCGCTAGATCACTGGTGGGGCAATTCTTACATGGAAACTCATTTCAGAAATTCACAAAATATTACTTACCTATTTCTGTGCTTTCAATTAATTTAGATAATATCGATAGGACAGATGTAGGAATAAGTAACGATACAATTCCAGTTGCAGCACCTAATTGATACATGAAAAATCAGTTACTATTTCAATATAATAAGCTATTATTTACCTCATTTTATACTTAATAAAATTACTATATTTCCAATACCTAAAAGAGCTATCCAATAGGATTTCGCTAGAGATAAAATAAGACATGAAACTGCTAGCGATATGCTTCCATATGTACCAAGTTCGACATCGAAAGTACGAAAATTAAGGGCAAAAAATGTTGATACCCACAACAAAATGGTCTGGGAAGAAGAAAAAATAACTGAAAAGACCAGCAAATCTTTGTATGACCACTCATATTCGTTTCTAAAGTACCTCGGAAGTATACTGAGATTACCTGTAAATGAAAAAAAAAAATATTATAGTTATATTTAAACGGATACAATTATTGTAATGCTCAATTAGTAAATTTAATTATTAATCCAAACAGTCCAGTTAATTTAAAACAATCAGTGAAGGGCACATAAAGGACGGGGAAAGTTACGTAAAATGTGTGAATATAAGTCAACATAATGTTTATGAATGAGTTTAAAAATCTAAAAATTATTTCGTTAATCTAGAATCATAAAGCTAATATATAAAATAATACCTAATAAATAAAGTAATAAAATAAAAGCAAATAAATAAAAGAATATGAAAACTCAGATTCCCCAAAATGGAAGGGAACATTAGGATTTTTAGTGATACCTGGTAACGCCACTAAATACAGATAATTGCAGTAAAATTTTTTAAGCTTTTGACTCGCATAACTGCTTTTATGTGGTCATAATATTTGTTGTCATTTTGAATATACGAGTATTACCAAAAATAATTTCATTTTATGTAATTTTTGGTACATATAAGCTCATTTTTTTTCTTTTTTTTTTCAGATATCTAGATATCAGTGTAACAATTGGAAGGTTATTTGAATCTGACAAAGCACACATACGTAGGCTATATGCCTAAGGGAAGGATTACTTCGGGGAGAACTTTCCATGGGAAATTGACTAGTCAACACATTACACAGCCCACCAGTGGCCGAGCGGTTAAAGCCGCTGAACACTGGTAGTTCGATCCGGGGTTCGAGTCCCGGCGAACGGGCTGGCTACATGGGCGTTTTCGTGGTTTTCCCCATGTGCAACGTGGATACGAGCCAGTTTCCCTTAAAAAGACCTCCACGGGGCATCCCTCCCTTTCCGTGTAGTGCCTAAGGGCGAAGCACGTAATAAGCAATAAAAAAATATAAAAACATTACACACGAGGAAAACCAAAACTGTTGCACGACAAAGTTTGCTCTTCCCGACTAGAAATCTCTCAGCGTGTGACGTCACTGACTCAGTCTGCGCAAAATCAGTTAGTCTCTTTGCGTCGTCATTTAGCTCACTTCTGTAAGTCAAATAACGTCATTGAACTAAAGCGTTAAAAACAGTATGACTTTGTTTGTCTACTGACTTTCGGGAAAATCAACCATACAGCCAGTCCCTTCGCCTGGGATCGAACACAGATCAAACTCCCAGTATCCGACGGTCTTAATCATTCGGGCCATTAGTGGGGCATGGAAAATTATGGAAATAATAATGAAGATTATGGAAACAATTAAGTAATTACACAAATCTAGTTAATAAAGGTTATGCAGATTCAGCTGTTCAAAAGCGTATAAAAAGCCTTGCCGTTGAGACAGACTTTAAGGGACAATCAAAGGATTCTGGTCGATAGCTCTCATGTACAACATATACTAAACATGTTAATAGCATAGTTGCACATGACCAAAGCACAACAATGCACAGTTTTAAGTTTCATTTATTTATTTATTTTCGGTTGCAGAAAGACTGAAATGGATATAGTTCTACTCTTTGGACGGGGGCCGCAATTAAGGATAAATGTCTTGGTCAGTTCTGTAAAGGGTATCTCCTGCTGCACGATAAAGCACGTCTTCCTGTTTTCAAAGTAATGAAGGTCCTTAAATGGGAGACTACGGCAGAAAGTCCAGATGTTTCGCTGTAAATTTTTTTATCCTCGATTACCAGAGGAAAAAAAAAAAAAAAAAAAAAAAAAAAAACACCCACCTCGGAGAGGACGTCGGCTCAAGTAAGACAACATGAATTGGCCTGTATCAAATCTTTTTACGAAAACAGACAACGGGGCTTCTACTGGAAGAGTTTCATTGAAACTTCCGCAGAATAAGTGTTTTATGGCACGTATCTCAGAAGGTTAATGATTTCCCGAAGTATAATCATTCAGCTTAAGATAAAATTACTATCTGCCTATCAGGAATGCTTTCGTAGATGACTTTACCGTAGTACTTGAGGAACATAATAAATTCTATAAAACGAATTTATTCAAGAACCATGAATGAAATGCTCATGGTTTATAATTGTATTTTCTCAGTGACTAATAATGCCCAAGGCTTATACCACGATTCGTTTATTATTGATAAAATATAACATAGACCATCATTAAACATAAAGTTAGATTTAAATTTGTCTTCACAGTTGCGCTTTAACTTCAAGAGATGCAAGAGTTGCGCTTTAACTTCAAGAGATGCAAGAGTTGCGCTGTAAGACAGAACAGTTTTTTGATGGTAATGAAGAGGATTTGTTCCAGATTTATCTATTATAAATTCGATTGATCCAGCCATCTAGTTCTAGTTATCATCACTTTTGAAACTGAATCTGACAATACCCTTCCCTTCTTTATATTCTTATAATTCTCAATGAATCTGATTTCAGCACTACTGTTTACCGTAAACCCTTTTCTGTTTGTTTACCGTCTCATACTGAGTCATGTCACTTAGTTAAACAAAATATGGCTCTTTTTTATTTTTTCCTCACAACCTTTGTTTGCTAATGAACTCGATTATTTGAGATCAGTTGCCATTCACCCAGGGTTTTCTCGTGTGGTCATTGATAACGCCTTCAAAACATTTTCAGCTTACCATCAAAGAAGACATTCCGCTATTAGAAATAATATTAAAATCCTTGTCGTGCTTCCGTTTCATTCCTCTGTCAGTTATAAAATTGTACGGATTCTCCAAAAGTGCAATTTTCAAGTCATTTTCTGACTTATCAATAAAATCCACAGTTCGATTCTTAAAGATTCTATTTCTGACTTTAATTGTAGGGGAATTTATAGCATATTGTGTCATTGTGGTTTGAGATATGTCGGCTAAACTAAAAGAGCGTTAAAATTTCATATCTAGGAACACGAATTTTATTCCCGAAAAGGCGAAATTGACAAGTCTGCGCTAGATAATCATAGATGGAAATTTAATTATAATTTTGACTGCAAAAATGATACAAAAAGCTTCTTCAGTTGGTGTATTAGGTTTAACTGAAGCTTTTCACAGTCACAAAAATTTATTTTGTTTAGTTAATGACATTAAGTCGAATACAGTCCTTCGTAACACTTTTAAAATTCTACCAACTTCATGTTTTAGTTTTGTTACTATTTTTGCCGACAGATGGAGCTACATTCTAGTTTGCTTTACTGCCGTAGGGTATAAATATGACCGTTGCTCCTGCTGCTTTCACGCCATCAGCTCTCGCCCTCTTGGACCTACGGTTAAAACTCGGTCTACATTCTGCGCCCTTTGCGCAATCACTTGATGACAGCCGGAACAAATCATGCATTTTGCTTGATAATCACGGCAAAAGAGGAACTTGGAAGCTACTTTCAGTCTCAGATTTCTTTGCTTCTGATGAAGAGGGACCTGAACCTGTTTGCCTTTGAAATCGATTGAGTTCTTAATTAAATCTAACAACACAAGGTTGTTGCTTTGCTAAATTCATGTGACAAGACAATATTTAAAAAATTATTTTTTACTGTTCTATAATCAAGAATATATTGAAAAAATAGCTTACAGAATACGAATTGGAAATGCAGCATTAAAATTACAGCACCTTAACAACTCCTTAACCTTAACAACTGATGCATTCTTAGTAGTTTGTTGTTCAAGGTGGCAATTGTTGTGAATGTTTGTGACTAGAATGAAGTTACAATATTCAACGAAGTTCAAATACGTGCACTAAACACAACAAGCCGCTCAACCGGTATAGTGGTTAGTGTCGCTGACTGCCGTGTCGAAGCGCCCGGGTTCGAATCCCGGAGAAGGCATGCATGTTTGTAAATGTATAGTGTCGAATGCGGCATGGCGGCACTCTAAATATGCGGCGAGCCGAAAGTCCTCTCGTGTGGCTTTGTGGAAGGGGAGAGGGGTGAAGACCATCAAACTCGTTCCCCCTGGGGTGCTCTCCATCAAAATTAGGCCGGAACTGATAAAATCGCACTGTCACCTGAATGGTGCTCAAGGCTGTTGCCAAAGGCAAGCGCATTCTAGCATTCCTTGCCACGAGAAATTTCGTGCTTTGCCATCTGCTCTGCACAAAACATGGATTTTTCAGTTAATATTTATATTACCAACCTTTATTTAGATCAAATTAGTATTTACAAGCTTATTTTTGAGTTTCTTGAAACGATTAGGATTGGGTTGATTTGGTTTGGTTTATTTAATTATGGCAAAGAACACTAGGGCTATCTGCCTAAGGAGAGGGAGGACTTTCTAAGGGAAACTGGCTCCTATACGTTACACATGGGGAAAACCCACATGCAGCCAGCCCGATTAGGATCGGGAGTGTTTAGAGTATGACAAAACACTATAGGGCTATCTGCCTGAAGGAAGGAAAGTGTGCAGGCAAGCCTCCACATTTATTCAACATCAAGTCTGTGCACTGCGACCGCTCAATAACAGAGCGAATTTGACGACTACAACTGGTTTTATTTTCTTCTGCTGTTGGGCTCCGAAGGTGTAGCTCGTTCTTCTGGCTGTCTTGATAAGTAAAAAAGATAAGTAACTCTATAGTTCATCTATGCCAAAAATACACTGGTCCTTTCAAAATCGTAAAAAAATTTTCGAAATGAAAATTATTTTATTCAAAATATTACTGACAACAAAACCCAAAAAATTCATTGTAGTAAATTGTTTAAAAGAGTTCCTCTGAGGTCAAATTTAACTAATTAATAGCATGGTTTTCATCCAGCTGTTTTTTTCCTTGTTCACTAAGTAAAAAAAAAAAAAAAGTAATTAAAGAAAGGAAGAAAAAATTCACACATGTTTTGTGTTTGATTATGAATGTAGTGGATTTAGTTCCAATTAATTATTATTATTATTATTATTGGAGTTTCTTGGTTAGTATGGGTGTAGGTTGGCCACCTTCATTTATACGTTTGGTCAGTTGCAGGCTGGTCCGGGTTGATTAAGGTCATGGAATTTCAAAAAAAAAAAAAAAAAAAAAAAGAGAGTAAGAAAAAAAATTCTAGAACACTTAGTGGTTATTACAAGTATCCAGCTAGTAATGAAAACTGTGCTATTTTAACAATTTGAGTAATTTGGAATCTCTAAGTTGTAAAAGAAGATTGTAGAGTAATCATTCTTACCACATTTACAAATATTATATAAGAAGAAATGTATGGTACTTAAAAGAGTTGATAAAATGATATGATTTGAAAATTGTCAAGTAAAAGATATTAGTAATCAAAAGTTGTTAACAACAGTGAAAGATTGTATGAAATGTGAGATGTATTCGGTTACAAATGTAATGTGTCTACAGAGTGTAGTAAAATTTATGCTACTGTATGCGAAACATGTATGTATTAGTTCTTAGTTTTAATTTTTAACTTGACTCACATGCGTAGCAGCTTATCCCCAAATTTATTTTTATATTTATGCCAGACAATGAGATTGTGATAATTTAATATTTGATCATAATTTGGATTATGCCAGACAGACATATTTGATTAAAATAACATGTGCTACATTTCTTCATCTGCAAATTAGTGTTGTTCTTCATCAAAATATTGTGATATGAATTTGTGAACTGTTTTATGTTTCTTCTTCTTTGGCCGGAGGGAATGTGCAGACAAGCCTCCACATTTATTCAACATCAAGTCTGTTCACTGCGACCGCTCAATGACAGAGCAAATTTGACGACTACAACCGGTTTTATTTTCTTTTGCTGTTGGGCTCCGAAGGTGCAGGTCGTTCTTCTGGCTGTCTTGACTCCGGTTGACGTGTGCACCATGTTTTCTTTTTTCGTTCTTTTTTGACTGCCATCTCCATATTGTGTGTAGAGTAATGTATTTCGCCGAGTAAAGAAATTGGTACTGAAGATTCAACTAAAATTATCTAGATGCTGACTCCTGCAGTAAATTAACGATGTTCCACGACTCTTCAAAAATATATTGGAATTGAAATATCCTCGAAAGAACTTCATGTGCACGTGTTCCACTTTCAGGATGATATGAATATCCGCCTTGTGCTTCTTCAAAAATATATTGGAATAACCAGTCAACTCAATTTCCTCCGTTATAAAATTTGATATTTTTTATCATGAAACTTTGTTTAACGAAGATGAACTGAGATTTACTTTGATTGGAATATTACGCATTTCTTGTACGAAAGGTTAGGACTCAAAATGGTAGGACTGATACTTACTGCAGCTGTTATCTTCTGTCTCTATTATCTTCTGTCTGGCGATGTTTTCTTGATTTATTTAAAATATAATTAATTTAAAATTTCCCGATGTCAAAATATAATAAATTTCTCTTAATTCACATTATTTGAAGTGTCATCCTTTGGGGGTAAGTTATTTTAATTTTATATTTCTTTCAGATCACACATTTCATCCTGCACGTTTATCAAGTATTTCTGGCTTATTGCATACTACCATATTTTTATTACAGAATGGAAGACTTTTAAAGAGAAACTATCTCGTACTCGCTTTATACACGATGAAAATTTCATGCAACTAGTCCGTTCATCGGGATTTTAACATTACCAGTGTTCAGCGGTATTACAACTCGGTCGCTAGTAGTTCTTCTTGAAATAAAATCAAAACTGATGTTATTATAACCTTCATTTCATTCAAATACCAACTCTTAAAGTGATTCAAGCATTTGAAACGTAGCATAACTGCATTTATTATAATAAATTACCATTATATCCTGATTTTCATATGCTTAAATTTATAAAAGTTTACCCCTTAAGAGTGAATACGAGTCAGTATCTCTTAAGAAGGCCTCCACAAAGACACCCCTTTCATTGGCCGTTATCCTTGCGTGCGTCGCCATAATAAAAATTGAAAAAAAGTTTACTTACTTTCATAAAAGTAAATACTTTTGCATCAATGCATCAAGTCATCATTATGCAGTTAAAGAACAGAACAGCCTTTTGGATAAACATAGCACAACACCAAAATTATATAAAACATAATATACAATACAGTCCCACAAACTCAACTCCCGATTATTCGACATTTCATATAACTCGACAATCACTTTTTTAAAATTACTAAATTATCTCTTCTGGTCAAGCAGAGCGTTATCTTTGAAATAATGCGATAGTCTTATCGTCTATACAATGCAAACAGTATAGATATATTTTAATTACTGTGTTGTTATAATTACAGGAAAGATTAATACATATGAAAATCTACGTTTTCCTGTTGTTCGGATTAAATATCTGTTACTATATTCTATTTTTGCAGTTTCTGTCCCTTTCCCTTTGTGACAATAATTCTGGGAACTATTTAACGAATTTAGTGAATTTCTTTAAGTGGAAATTGTAATTTACACCTACTTCCCTTTCCAGTCAGTTTCATTTTGAATAGTGTCATCCGGACTTGTATGTGATGAGTTGTGTTGTCTGTACAAGTGAAGATGTCTAACAGAAAGGAAACAAATTAACATAACATTGGAAATGAAATTGGATACCTTAAAGAGACTGAACAAAGGGGAAAGTATTAATAAAATTTTCACTGGTTAAAGTGAAAATTAATTTCACTGGAACTACTGTAATAGAGTGGAAAAAGCAATGTCCGAAAGCATCTTCGGTTTTTGTGAAAAAAGCTTGTGCTGGTAGTTTAAAGTAAAAGAAAAATCTGAAAGATTTTGAAGTGAATACGAGTGAGTGAGGGAGTCCAGCAAAAAAAAAAGGAAGGACATTTACTTCTGAGTCCATTTTGCAAGAGAAAGTCTTTAAAACCCATGGGAAATTTAAAGGAGGAGAACCTGAATTTACAGTTATTGTTAGCTGATTCGACAGGCGACATCAGACAGTTAAATATTTGGGGTGAAAAACTGTCTGCTAACTTGGAAAATGTTAATATATTCAAGGAAAATTTCTACAGACTAACTGAAAATAAGGTTGTATTAAAGAATCAAATTTGCAACTGTAGTGAGGCTGGTTTGAATCATCGAATGCTGCCTTCCAAAACGCTTGTATCCAGGGAAGAAAAATCAACCCCAAGCTGTAAAAGGAAGGAAGAAGAGAGTTATAGTCTTTCGGCATGCAACAATGCAACAGGTAGTAATAAGCTCAATCTAGGACTTATAAGCAAAACAAAAAAATCCCCGGATGGTTTAATACGTCAGCAGAGCATTAATAGGATTGACACCTTCTATGATCTGCCTGTTTGTTACATGAATCAATCAAATGTTTGTACGAATGAAGCCACATTTAAGTTCTGGTTTTATCAGCAGTTTGTTTTTCGCTACAGAAGTTTCTAAAATCAAAACATCTCCCAAAGAAAGCATATCTGATTCTTGACAATGTCTCATGCCGTGCTGATGTGGAACATTTACGAGACGAAAATGTAAGAGCCATTTTCTGTCTCCTAAAGGGGCTTCGGTATGTCAACCAATGGATCAATGCATTTTGAAAGAATTGAAGAAGAGACACTGACATAAACTTCTTTCATCTGTTATCTTAGCTATGGATAAAGGGTATGATATGATCGATAAACTAAAGAAAATCGATACGTCAGACGTAGTAGGGTGTACGCATGAATCCTAGTATTAAATCGCGCTTATAAATCTTGTTTTCACTTTTGGAGAAAGTTGCTAGACCATTTTGGAAATGAATTTCAAGAAAGTAGAAAAGATACAAAAAAATTATGAAGCAACGAACTTACTGAAATAAATTGCAGTCTACAAAGAACTACTGATGGTGATGTTGGAGCATGGATGAAGCAAGATGATATTCTGGCATAGTTGCACTAAGCAAGGAGAACGATCATAATTAAAGTGAATCAAAAGATGAAGGCATAGAAGACAACCGAAAAGCTAAAAATATGGCCCAGTAAAGGACTAAAAGCCGCTGAAAGAATACTACGGTAGTTCAATGAGCAGGTCCATATGATATGGGCATTTTATTTCTTCGTCGCCTATGTGATAAAGCTGCATGAAGAAGAAATGAGTGTGAAAGATAGTCTAGCAGAGTGGTTCTCAAACTGTTTTGCCTCATGCACCAGTTTCTCCATTGTTAGATGATCATTCTCCCCCTCCTTTCCAGAACTCGAAAGATACCTATACACTTATTTAAATTTAGTGTTTTATTTTTAATGTGTTTCAGAAATTAAACGAGATAAAATGTAGAAAGCATTAATAAACACAAAAATTTGAATAAAAGTAATTTTCTGTATTCATAAATTAAAATTAAATACTTAATAGATAAATAAGGCTTATTACTTGCTCCCCCTGAAACAATGAAATTCCCCTTGGTTGAGAACTCCTGTTCTAGCATCACGATATTTTTTTCCTACAAAGAGCTTACTGCATATTACTCTAATGAAAGTTCTAGCACAACATATCCTAAAATAATTGTTAAAATGTAAAGATACATTATATACAAAGTCATGTCTTCAGCTTTGTATGTAATGTTTCTTTAAATTTTAACAATTATTTTAGGATATGTTGTGCTAGAACTTTCATTAGAGTAATATGCAGTAAATATTGAACTGTAAATAATCCCACCCCTTAATCCATAAAACTCCACTGTATTAGGCGAGTTAATTAGGTCGAGTTTGCAGGACGCTACTCTATTACACATATTTTCACAGAACGTTTAATATATAAATAAAATGACATTTCTCTTACCATTCAGCGAAGTGTTGTAGAAGACGAAGATTACAATTGCTACAATTATGAAAGACCGCACATTATCTAACCTTCTCCTAAATACACAGCTAACAGTATCGGAAACATTGATTGGCGTTAAAAGATTCATCCATGGATTGCCCTCAAAACTTCCTAAGATGAAAACTGATTCAGATACGCACTTTTTTATGTAGATTATAAAACAAACTGAAAAGAAAATACGTATCGAAATAGCAGAAAGCACAAGAGTTTGAAAAGGGAGTCCAATTTCTAAAGGTGTGCAATAATACTTAATGATCCAATCTAGCGCAGGTACTGTATTCAGAAGTCCCAAATATAATCCTATAAACCAAGTCCGCAGGCGGTGGTCTGTTGCGTCAGTAATATAGCACATACATCCTATACTTACTAAAACAGTTCCACCAAATATTCCGTAAATAGCTTCTGCCAATAATAATACACTTCTTGATACAAGTGGAACAAATATTGAGATGGTTAAAACTATGTCAGTAATAAAAGATCCAATGCAAGGAAGGGTGAGTAAAAGTTTTCTTCCATGCTTGTCACTCCAAGCTGACAAAAAAATGCAAGGTAACACAGATATGAAATTGTTCACTAGTAAACTGTGATATAAGAACTCTGATAAACTTTCTTCCTCAAACACGGTGTCTGTCTTATTTGGAAGAGAAGTAGAATTCGTGCAGTCGCTAGAATTTTTACAGTTATCGTAGAGTATAAAAAGTCTAAAAATTTGGAATTTGAGTTTTTGAAGGATCGAAAATATCACAGACAGACCCATCACTCCGAACTTCTGGTAAACAACCATTTTATTTACAGTTTCTGAAAACTAGCATCTGAATACCTGAAATAAAATGAAAGTAAAAATTACAAATAAAAAATATTTACCGTTACTAACTAAGTTTTTTTTTCTTAAAAAAGTTTGAATTTTTAATAATTAACTGGTACCTTTCCATATTAATGATAAATTTTGCTTTAAGTCTCATACATCCAAATTATAGCAAAGCATATCATGTATACAATAACCAACACACACAGCCAGAGGAAAAGTAATAGTTCGTAAGAAGAATAAATTTAATTTAAGAAAAAATCAGCAGATTTAATTTGAAGAAGAAACCTTTGTGTCTTTATATTGAGTTTCTATCATTTCTCCATTAATAATAAATTTATATAGAATTATTTTAGGATACTTCCTCCGTTAATAAAGAGTTTATTTCCTTAAAGTTTTACGTGTAAAATATTCCATAAGAACATTTGTATTCAATTAAAAATGCTTCGAATTTTTTCCGTTACGGAGCAAGACATGCCGAACAATTTTATCAAAACAGCCACATGCGTCAACCTGATAATTCCAGCGAGAAAGCATATTCTTCATCAGTTCATTTTTAAACATAAGAAATAATCTCATAGGTTAATTGATTAATTATAATACAAAAGTCAATACATAAAACCCAACTCATGAACCAAACTGTACGATATAGTATATCAGAGAAATATAAAACATTCAAAGCAGAACAAGCTATTCAAAGCAAATAAATAAATCAGAACAGAACACTATCCAACCAAACTACAACTCTTATATAAGTTACTTATGCTAATACTCTAATCAGAATATCGCAGGTTAACCTCAAAAGATGGAATATACCCCGTGCTTCGTACAACCTAGTATAGCTCCTAACCGAACACAAAAATAAGCAAGGCTTTATACTTATTCCAAGAATTCTACTTTCTAAAAGGAGTACTAGTAACAAAAAGAGGTATAGTAGATTTTCTGGCACATAATCTGAAATGTGCCAAACTCATTAAATGCGTTTCTTCTCAGTTAAAACAAAGCACATTTTAAAAACCAAATAAAATAATCTAACGTGGATGCTGAGAGAAATAGGAGCTGTATAGAAGGAGAAGTTGCAGTTATTCCAAACATATGGGGAATTTACTATAACAAATCTGGAGTCACATCATAAAATCCAAAAAATGTCATATTACGCATTCGCAAATAATGGAATCCTATTATCTTAAAATCAGCTAGGGACCTAATAGCAATTGCCTTAAACAAGTCATCCAGTCAGCTCGCAATAACATCGTTTAACTCCTCTCCAACAAAACGCTTCTCTCATTCTCCTTAACAATTTATTACAAAACACCCCCATCATCTATTTGGAGGTTTAAGCGACCAAAGTCACAACTGGAGTTACGCAACAAACGACGGAAGAGGCACAGTCAGTGGACATTATTACAAAGGTCTAAAGAGTTCACAATAACCCTGAAGACACCCCAATTTTTGTAACAGTTAATGGGCAAGGATGGCCAAACCTGACTATTACTAGTCACCACTTGACTAATGCAATTACAAACAGAAAGTACACCAAGAAACAGCAAGTTCTGACCATAAATAATTATTCCCTGGGAGAATCAACCTCGGAATCAGTTAGTAAAAGATTTAAAATATCTAAGAACAGAAGAAAACGCTTTATTAGATCATCAGGCAAGAAGCTTCCAGTATAATAGAAGAAATTAAAAACAAGGCAGGCGTTAAGAATGCAGCAACATCCCTAATCAAAACCATTTAACAAACTGCCACTGCAACTTTCCCAGTTCAAAAGAAGAATTTGTTTCAGATAAACTGGTGGATGAAAGAATTAAGGGCAAAGAAGAGTAGGACCAATGGTCTGAAAAGTACGAAAGGCAGTACAGCAAGGTCAAAAACTTGGATAAAATACAATGAGCAGCTAGCAGTTTACAAGAAAAAGATTATTAATACTAAATTAAAAACTGGTAGCAGTTCTGCGGAGAAAATAGGGACACTTATGGAATTTTATGTACGATTCCAACAAATAAGATTTTTAGCCGACAAAATTGACCCTCCCAAGAGATTTCCAAAATAAGCAGAGATAACAACGCAGGACGCAGCAACAGTACCATTAAACAAGATCTTCTATGCTATATTCCTCAAAGACGAACCCGAAGAAGATACTCTATTATAAAAGAAGCTAAAAAAACACCAATCTCCCACCAACTAACATCCCGTTCTCACAAAAAGATTTCAGAATTATCATTTTGGCACGAAGGGAAGCTTCAGGACCTAATTCAGCTGATAACAACACAATAATGTTAATCAGCAAAGCAAATGAAAATATGATGCTCGTCTTCTTTAAAAACGTTCTTAAGTATTGAAGTTTTCCCCGACTGCTTCACAACGGGATTTATGACACTATATTCCAAAAAGAATAACGGCTACCCGAGCAGTCCCGAGCGATTAAGTGGCTGAACACTGGTAGTTCGGTCTGGGGTTCGAATCCCAGGGAACGGGCTGGGCGCATGGGCGTTCTCTTGGTTTTCCCTATGTGTAACGTGTACCAGCCAGTTTCCCTTAGAAAGTCTTCCACAAAGGCATCTCTCCCCTTAGGCAGGTAGTCCTCGAGTGCTTTGCTGTGATCAAATAAACTAGCCAAGCCAATCAAAAAAAATTGAGGACTCGATAGAGTTTACGTCTTTTCCCCTAAATAACGTTTCGCCCGTTTATACTCCTCCTCTTATCACCCGCGGAGAAGTGCCTTTTCCCCAATTTCATCACTGTCCTAATCTCAGCCACGGCCAACTGGAGAATTCCCGAAAGTCGCGTCTCGGCCACAAGCCAGATGCGAGAAATATATAATCACCTAATTTTCGTGCAGTTATTACAAATAGTTTAGTGAGCTTATGAAAATTCGTTATATATATATCTATATATGTAATATTTTACTGCGTAGTCGTCATGGCTGAGGGTGAAGGCTTACAGATGAAGCCAACCAAAACTGGATTTTGACGAATCACCAGTCTTTATTTTCATACATATCAAATTATTTTGGTAAACATTTATCCAATCATAGTTAAATACAATAATTTAAGTACACTGACTTTAAAAGTACGACGTAAGCATCTTAGACAGAAATGCATAAGCAGCGAAGAGATGTTGGCAGGGCAGAAGTTAAGGAAGGCGTAAGCGGAAGTGTCACAGCAATTCGAAGGAAGAAGGGAGGGAATCAAAAAGTTTCAGTTCCGAGTTAAAAAAGGTTTGGTTTATATTTTGGTGATTGGTCAAGAGGCATTAAGCGTTACGAAGGATTGCACAATTAATTTGAATGATGCAATTTAGACAGCGCTTTTTTTAAGATAGAGAAAGGAAGTCCCCAAATTAAGTAAAAAAGATTATAGCCAATTAAAATTAGAAGTTTGCTTTCGTAATTTTTATCTTACACATTTTTATGTATATTTCTCTCTCTCTACAGTGTGTTTCAGAAAGCTTGTATTATTAAGAATTTATAGTTAGGTGTCTCGCAAACTGTTATTCTGCACCACGGTAAGGAATATATGAGTTAGAAACATCTTTTATGAATTAAAATTATATTTAGATCAACAAGAAAAGAGTATAAATATTCTAGATGAAAAAAATACTATAAATAAAGCGTAATTTTATTTCTAAGTACTAACTATATTCTTTTGCAGAAATGATTGGAATCATTTCTCAAATGATGGAACCAGAATTAATAATCGTACTGAAGGGTTGCATTCCAAGTTAAATAAAAAAAATCTGTCTGTCCCCATTTAAAAGTATATTCATTCATTGATTCAACTTCTAAACATAACAAAGCAGAAAGTTAATCAGTCATGCGTATGTTAAGTTACGGCAATAAACCCTGGAACTCCCAGTTAAAATATAGAGTTAAATGAAAAATGAGTAAAATTAATAGAAAAATTATTAAACAACGATTACGGTGAAACACCGAAATCTGGAGAATGTCGACTTTCACCGGTGAATGTCAACATTCACATAGCCTCTTGGTGTATGTCCGAAATATTTTCCAAATACTCTTATTTCTGACTTACACCGGTCAATGTCGACATTCACCATGTACTAATGGTGAATGTTGAACATATAACAAACAATATTATATTTTCTTCTCCGTAATTCAGTCGCGAATAAACGCACTTGAGACTTGAAATAAGAACTTAAGAACATGAGAACCTAAAACACAAAATTCATTCAAAATGAGAACGGAAAATAATAGAAGTTAAAAACTTACTTAATTATACAGTACGTTCTAAATGAAAAAAATAAAATAACAGTAATAAAAAACTTACTAAATTATGTGATTCAAATCTTATTTATTGCAACAGCTTAAACTATTATGGCACTTTATGACCTCTCTTTTCGACTTTCACCAGAGCATATCTGTGATTGTCGACATACACCGGTGAGGGTCCGAATATACAAGAATGTAGTGAAATATTCGATCTTTCACTGACGTATTTGGTGAATGTTAATATTCTCCGGTGAAAATCGACATTCTCCAATTTCGGTCTTTCACGGTAACATATCCACTGTATATGTGTGTTGGCAACAGTAGTCACGGAAAGCCACCAGTGCGCCACTGAGATAGCTTCCAGCCATAGAAGTAAACGAGACGGAAATGTGGCATCTCAGAGGACACTGCCTACTGACCAGGCTGCATTATTTTTTAATATCTTAAATGAAAATTTAATTGATTCTTTTCACGGCTTTTGATCTCAAATAAACCAGCAGAACGAAACAAGTTTTCGAAACATATTAATTGGTATTTATGAAGCTTTAATTCATTTTCCTCTGATGAGTTCTGAATTATACTTTCAGTAAAAGGAAATTAATTTTTATATATTTATAATCTTGTAAAATTTTCCCTTTTGCATTTTTATTTTGAGTTTGTACTACTATGAATTCTATGACCAGGATGGTCATAGAATTCATAGTAGTATAAATATATTATATATATAAATAAATAAATTTTATAATATATATAATTATAAAACTGCTTAAGGCCAATGTTC